AGAACATTGAGACGAAGGGTTGCATGCAAAAAATGATCATCATTAACCTCACGAAACGCAACAAAACGAAAGATTTAGTTAATGCGTTTGAAACGTTTCACGAGAATAAAAGCATTTTAAGTGGGATAAGCACCTACCTCTACGTCATCAGTTGAATCACCTCGCAAATAATACCCTTTGGGCAATTCTTTCACCGTGAGAAACCGTACAACCATAGTCAAATCATCGATCATCTCAATCACATGGTTTTCCAAAAACAATACACCAAGAGGTTCTTTATCAATCCGCTTCTCATAATAGGCTAGAACATTTCCATAGGCGATAAAGTATCTGCGTTTGAACGAGCTTTTGTTCTCCGATTTTCTTTTCCATAAATACCCAGCACGATCTTCCTTCTGACCACCGAGGAACTGTACAATTGTTTTCGGATTGATGATGCGCATCAATAAGGTTGTGTTATGTACATGTCATTTTCAACTCTGAAATCAGTGCCATGGATGTCTAAAAAACAAACGGAATGATGAAAAATAAAAGTCCAATGTGATAAAGCTAATATGAATTGTTTTATTATTAACTTCATTAGCTTACTTTTAGGATTCAACGGAAGGTCATTCACCTAATTTGATATCCGTAGCATAAATGTACTTCATAGATTACTGTCGAGTAGTAGCCCACTTATCTTCATTTTCAGGAATACTTTAGTTTTCAGCCGAAGTTTTCCATCACACAATATCGTGTGATAAGAACCGACAGCCTAAGCCTAAGGAATAACGAATCAAACAACGTCCAACTTTACACGGTACGGAGCTGGACGACAGTGAAGCCGCCTATCATCAATGGTTGGGTGGTGATTGCGGGGTTCTAACCTAGGTCCCAAAGCACAACTGCAACAGGGAATTAAACTACTTGACCACCACACAAACACTTTTATAACGAAAGAACCAATTCATTATTTGTTTGTAGGTGAAACAGCCCTGGGGCGTCTGGGGTAAATTCGGGAATTTAAAACCGCAACCGGACAAGAACGAAACTTGGGGAATGAGCAAAGACAGCAGTTTATTATCGATCAGTATTTTGTCAGGCGGATCTTACGTCCTTGAAGCAAGTTTAACAGACCCATGACGTAGTACAAACCAGTGAAGTAAGTAGCTAGGAGAACGTTTGTATGCTCCTTCTTGGGAACGATAGAATTAGGATTTTCCAGCTTTCCTAGCCCAGAAAACTTTCCGTGACTCATCAAATAGGCCTAAATATGCTTCCACTGAAGAACAGCGAACAATGCCAGATGAGCATGTTAACTGCACAATTGTCAAACGAGACCCTCTGTGGGCAAGGAAGCACAAGTGTACCAAGCTGAATTCGTCGGAACAGCAAGGATTTCATCCTTAGCCTAACCGTTTGGTCTTATCGTAGAGCCAAGATACTCGAAAACTTCGGTTGAT